GCGGCGCCAGCCGCGGCCAGGGCGGCGGCGCCCGCACAGGGCAAAGAATAGGATTTGTCGCCGTCGTCGTCATCGTCGTCGTCGTCGTCGCTGTCGTCGCTGTCGTCGTCGTCGTCGTCGTCGTCGTCGTCGTCGTCGTCGTCGAGACGTTGCCACGGCTCGGGGCGCAGGCGAGGAGGCGAGGATCTGAGCTGGAGCAGTGAGTCTTGTGACGCGAGGTGCAATCGTTCATTGATAGGGTACTACTGCGCGCAAGAGTACATAACTATTGCTTGGGGGCCGAGCTACTGCACGGGCGATAACTACAACGTCCAGCAAACAAATTATGGCACCCAGGCGTCAACGATTGCAATTACTATTGCACCTTTCCCCGCGGACCCATCTGTGTCAGACCCGCTACCCCAGCTTAAAGAGGAGGCGAGGAGGCGAGGATCGAAAAAAAACAAAGCAAACATGCACATCAACTTTCGGAGTTCTGCGCGGATCTCTCGGATCGGCGCTGGACACCCCTGGCGGCGCCTCCGGCACTGCCCCTGGCGCGCTCCGCCCGCCATCGCCGATCCAACAAGAATTTGCGCGGAGTTCCGACAGAGTATGTTGATGCTTTTTGATTCGAAGTGGGCAGGCGGGGCAACGAGGAGGGGAGGTGCCACGCGGGGGTCTGTCCTTGAGCCCCGCCTGGGGAATGGATCTTCGAGGGCCTCGGCAAGCGGTGGAGGGTGTTCGGGCCCACCCCAGGAGGGTGTACACCTTAGGCGATGCTTAAGAAAACCTAAATTTTCGGCCAGAGTCTCGATTATTCTTAGCGTTTCCATGTAAATCTTCAGGTTTTAGTGGAAACGTTGGGGTTTTTATTCAAGTTCTGAGAGTATGAATTTCTTAACCCATGATTTCTTAAGCATTTCGCAGGGTGTGTCCATGATGTGTGTGGGTCGCCCAGAGGAAGTGGGGAGGCGAGGAAGCGAGGCTCAGGGGAGGCAGTGACGCCGCTGCCGCTGCGCGTCCTGGAGAGCGCTCGTCGCCGCGGCTGGATGCCCCTCGAGGCTCCTGGTCAGCATGCGCTCCGAGGATCTGACCTCTTCAGCGCGCGCCAGCGAGGCAGTCCAGCGCCGATCCAACAAACCTCTCGCGCGGAGCTCCGACAGCTTGTGCTCGTGGAGTCTCGTGTGCGATCCCCGCGAGGGGGCGGGGAGGCGAGGCTCAGAGGAGGGAAGGAAGGCTGCCGATGCCGCTGCTCGTCCTGGGGATCGTCGCCACGGCTGGATTCGCCTCGAAGAGCATCAGACAGCACAAGCTGCAGGAACCCGCGCGGATCTGCAAAACTACTTTTGGAGATCCGCGCGGATTTCCTGGATCGGCTCTGGACCCCCTCCCTGGCGCGCCGAGCGCGCCATGGGCGGCGCCCGAAGCGCCCCCAGGGGCGCTCATCAACGCCGATCCAAGAAATCCGCGCGGACCTGCGAGAAGTTATGTTTGTGCCGTTTTGTGTTCCTCTGTCTCCTCCATCTCCTCGAGATTCTGGCCAGAATGCGTCCGGGAGAGGCTTGGGGAGTAGCGGTATCCGTACCTCGGTTGTCCTCCCACGGGGGCCCAGATAGTTGTCCGACGGTCTGTTTTTTTCAATGCCGGTGTGCTCTCCTGGATCCCGGCCTCTGGGGGCCGCTTTCCCGGGCCCGGGGGCCAGCACGGCGACGCTGCCGATGCTGACGCCGCTGCCGCCGCGGAGGACCTCGACGCCGACGACGCCGACGCTGATGCTGATGCCGTCTTCGTTTCGGAGGGTGCTGGGCGTTTCTGGAGGCCCTTGTCCCACCGCAGGGCGCAGCTCGAACGACTGGCTGCGATAGGCCCCGGGAGGGGCCCTCAGGACCCGATGTTGAGCGGATGAGGCGTCGGATCCGACGCCGACGCCGAGCACGTGACAATGCAGGGTCGCTTTCGATCCAATCGATCCGATCCGATCTCGACTCCAACCGGCCCGATCTGATTCGATCCGATTGCGATATTCCGACGATCCGATGCGGCCCGACGCTTTCGTGGCGTTGTTGCGCGGGCGAAGAGAATATGCACATACACCGATCCTGGCCATGCCCATCTTGGGGCCAGGTGCATACGCCTTCCTGGGGTGGGCCCGAACATCTCCATATCCACCGCTTGCCGAGGTCCTCGAAGATCCATCCCCCCTGCGGTGTCTAAGGATACATCCCCGCCTTGCACTTCCCTCCTCGTTGCCCCGCCTGCCCGCGTCGAAGGAGAAGCATCTGCATCGACACGGACTCTGGAAGCTCTGCGCGGACCTCTTGGATCGGCGCTGGACCCCCCGTCCCTGGTGCGCGTAGCGCACCAGTCAGGAGAGAAAAAAACACAGACACAATATTTTTATTTGTGTGTATTTATTTGTGTGTCCTGGGGCCCCTTCAACCAGGGGCGGCGCCGGAAGCGCCGCCATGGGGGCCCAGCGCCGACCTAACACCTGCCCCCTCCTCCTGCCCACTGCCGCAGCCATGGATCCCGACCGAGCGCGCGCGTCCTGCCCGGTGGCGCCCCTTGGCTTCCGCCGCAAAGAAGGGGCGCAATGGAGCTGCCGGTGACCGTGGCGTTGATCCTCAGTGTGTGGACCGCGTCGTCGTCGTCGTCGTCGTCGTTGTCGACGAGCTCAGCATGGTCTTCTTGGATCGGCGCTGGGCCCTACTGGCGGCGCCTCTGGCGCCGTACAGCTGGCGAGCTTCGTGCGCCAGGGAGGGGGGTCCAGCACAGATCCAAGAAATCTGCGCAGGCATCTGGAACTATGCATTTATGTCGCTTTTTTCTTGTAGCCAAAGAATATGCTGGGAGGGTTGAGGGAGGTAGGAGGTAGAGACGAGAGAGGAGGGAGGATGATGGGGATGACGGGGTGAGAGAGGTAGGATGGCTGGGAGCAACATCAGTATATTTTAGTGAAACTTTTCGTAGGCACTCTGGAGGGGTGTCGCGGATGATAGTGGAGCAGAATCAGTAAGAAGTCGCAGACAAATTGCGTCTGGCAGCGTGAACGACATTCGTTGGCTGCCTGGACCTCCCACGACGGTGGAGGAGGAGGAGGAGGAGGAGGAGGAGGAGGATCAGGGTCAGGAGGAAGAGGAGGAGGAGGAGGAGGAGGAGGTGGAGGATGAGGAGGAGGACCAGTGTAAACGCAAGACCCAACAACGATGTTGGAAGAATCCCTCTCTCCAAGTTCCTTCTTCACAGGTCCTTACAAGAATTTGTGATCATTGCGGGATTTGCCCCGCTGGAAGACAACCGTCTGAGACTCCTCAATCTTGCAAAAGGCATTATTCCTGGAACTTCAATGCCGCGAATCAACGTGACCGTTGCGCCCTGAACAAGTTTAAGCCCTGGGAGCTCAATGCCGCGAATGGTCGTGATTGTTGTGCTCCCTCAATCCGTGAGGCTCTTGCAAACTTTAAAGATGAGTGCGCGCGGCGCTAAGGCGAGAGGCACTTGTTGAAACTGCGTCGCCTTTTATCTCTAACCAGTTGTAAACATTGAAACTTGCGCGGCTAACGCGAGGGCCACATTTTTGAAAGGGCCCGCCCTTCATTCTTGTAACTGTTGCCAAATTCAGCTTCGGGATCACACATGGTGGAGGAGGAGGAGGAGGAGGAGGAAACGAGGACGTGGAGGAGGAATGGTTCCAGCTGGGGGGCGCAAGCTTCGAGGAGGAGTTGAAGGATGAATGGTTTCGAGTTGTTCCTTCCTCTCCATCTCTTCTTGATCCGACCCACAAGGGCTCTCAAGAAACTTCTCAGAAGCCTCCGAGAGCTTCCCGACGAGGGGTCACAACGAGGCTTGGGACCCCCCCAGACGACAAGAATCGGTCCCAACCCTGACGAAATCCCAAGGATCTCGGCATTGGCACTTGCTTCTGATTTCCCTCTCGAGCCGATCCCTGGCATTCAGAAGCGCCCCAGCCCCAGAGGGTTTCGCCCACAACCTGACACCACTAGCCAAGGGGAGAAAGCCGCTCAACTGACCCACAGAGCTGGCGTGTGCTTACCAACCAAGCCCCGCCCCGTTTGGATTCCTTCATAGGGCGCGCTTACTAGAGGGCTCGCTTGTCGGGGCGCTTGTCGTGAGTGTGGTTCTTCTCTGCGACCGATTGCGAATCCTACCCCTGCGGGTCCAATCGACGTTTGGGTATCGGACACCTCCGCTGGGGTTCACTTGGTCGCAGACGTCCTCCGACTTCTGAATCCCAGCCGGCCTTTCGGAAATCTGACATGCATGGGTAGGGCCCACGTGTGGATGCCTATCTCCTGCTTTGTGCAGATGCCGCCAGAGGGCTTCGGCCGAGCCCCCGTGCAGCTCCGCAAAAGGGGCCCCGCGAGCGTCCCCGCGCGGCTCCGGTGCGCATCCGCACGCTTCCCGTCGGGAGGCTGTTCGTTCGCAAGCCATGCCGCACAACCCGTCGGCTCAGCAGGGGAGAAATGGCAGCCGCGCAGGAAGCGGTAATCTGAGGTCAGAGCAGGGCTGGACTTAGACGGTGTTTTTGGTGAGTTCGTGGGCCGTTTTCGTTTGGCAGCCGCTGGTTTCGCCTGGTGCTGCTTTCGCCCCGCTGGTTTCGCCCGGCTGGTTTCGCCCGGCGCTGGTTTCGCCCGGGCTGATTTCGCCCGACGCTGGTTTCGCCCAGGCTGGTTTCGCCCGGCTGGTTTCGCCCGGCTGGTTTCGCCCGGCTGCTGGAGGAGGTGCAGGAGGAGGAGGAGGAGGAGGAGGAGGAGGAGGAGGAGGAGAGGAGGGAGCGAGGGAGGAGGGAGGGAGGGAGGGAGGGAGGGAGGCGAGGAGGAGAGGAGGAGGAGGAAGGAGGAGAGGAGAGGAGGAGGAGGGGAGAGGAGGAGTAGGGAGGAGGAGGAGGAGGAGAGGAGAGGAGGAGGAGGAGCGCGGAGGAGGAGGGGAGGAGGAGGCAGGAGGAGGAGGGCTGAGGCGGGGCTCGGAGGGGCCCTCCCCTCCCGCCCCGCCCCGACCTGGCACCCGACCCAGCCCGCCCGTTAGGGTCCGCCCGTCCCGACCCGACCCGACCCGCCCGTTAGGGTCCGCCCGTCCCGACCCGACCCAGCCGTTAGGGCTCTCACGTGCCTTCTCGATTATGCACCACACTTTCATGCCCCGCCCGCTCGACCCGACCCGCCCGTTAGGGTCCGCCCGTCCCGACCCGACCCGACCCGACCCGCCCGTTAGGGTCCGCCCGTCCCGACCCGACCAGACCGTTAGGGCTCTCGCGTGCCCTCTCGATTATGCACCACACTTTAATGTCCCGCCCGCCCGACCCGACCCGCCCGTTAGGGTCCGCGGAGGAGGAGGACGAGGAGGAGGAGGACGACGACGAGGAGAGGGAGGACGAGGAACACGAGGACGAGGAGGAGGAGGAGGAGGGCCAGGAGGAAGAGGCGAGGAGGAGGAGGAGGAGGAGGAGCGAGGAGGGGGAGGAGGACGAGGAGGCGGAGGAGGAGGAGGATGACGACGACGGCGACGGCGACGACGACGACGGCGGCGGCAACGGACTCGGCGAGACCAGCCCGGCGAAACCAGCGGGGCGAAACCAGCGGGGCGAAACCAGCGCTGGCGAAACCAGCGTCGGGCGAAACCAGCGCCGGCGAAACCAGCGTCGGGCGAAACCAGCTCCAGCGAAGCCAGCGTCGGGCGAAATAGCCCCGGCGAAACCAGCGGGAGAGATCAGCGTCGGTCGAAACCTTCGCCGGCGAAACCAGCGTCGGGCGAAACCAGCCCCGGCGAAATCAGCGTCGGGCGAAACCAGCCCCGGCGAAATCAGCCCCGGCGAAACCAGCCCGTGGCTTTCGTTTCGACTTCGTTTTGCGGTAAAGGCGGATTCGAGAAAAAAGCGAGGGAAAACGAAAACAAAACGAAAACGAAAAACACCGTTTAGGTTCAGCCCTGGGTCAGAGGGTACACTCAAACATCCATGGGGCCAATGGAAGACCATGCTGGTCAGCAAGTGAACGACGCATAACAACGGGTTCGATTGCGCCGACATTCGCGCGTAAGTTCGCCGCGTAAAGTCGCGCGTGAGCGCCCCCGTCTCCAAAGTAGCGTGCCGCGCTGACGGGCCGCGTAACCCGCGGCGTAAGGTCGCTATGTTATTTCGCGTAACACTCGTTCCTTTTCGTCGCGCAAGTGCTTTCGAAGTTGGCTGTCTATGTAGTGCAAAACGCGGGTACTTGAAAATTGCACTCACAGGCGAGAGCGGAATTTATCCCCACCGTACCGCCAGTGTGTAGCCAGGGCGCTGGGGTAAGGACCGCTTTGGACTCAGGAGTGGTACTGTTTTTTTGGGGGCTGTTCACCAGGACTAGGTCGGGGAGCCCATTTTAGCACTTCGGGTAATCAATGGTTTTGGGCCTTCTGAGGCTCTCTTGTCGGTCCTCTTGGGGCCCTCTTGGGGCGTCTTGGTGGCGTCTTGGACTGTCTTGAGGCCATCTTGGGTGTTCTTGAGGCCTTTCCGACGTTTCGAGCCCCTCTGAAGCCATTTTGGAAGGCATCCTGTGCATCCTGGAGGCCACGGGTGGTGGATTCGGAGGCTCAGACGGCCCTTGAGGAAAGTTGATGAGCTCGTGTGGGGACTCCCCCTCCTTAAACGAGATTTTGGGCACTGCGGGGGGGGGGGATAGGGGGAAAGGGGGAAGGGGACAGCCAAATGGCTCAGACGCCTCTTCACCCCTGCAAGCGGGAGTCGGCGTTTTCTTATTTTGCGTTGGAGTGTTCGCTGCAGCATCTCATATTTTTCGAATGCGTCAGACAACTCAGCGAGCTGCATATGTGTGATCCTACAAGGACGTATTCTGATGATGATGATGACGACGATGGCGAGGATGATGGAGATGAATGTGAACATGAGAATGATGATACTGATGATGATTCTGATGATGATACTGCTGATGATGAGGATCGTGATGCTGCTGCTGATGATGATGATGATGATGATGATGATGGGAATAATGATGATTGTGATGATGCTGATGATGATGCTGATGATGATGAGGAGGAGAAGGCGGATCATGCTGATGATGAACATGCTGACGCTGCTGATGATTATGATGATGCTGCTGCTGATGGTGATGGTGATGCAGATGCTTATGCTGATGCTGATGCATGCTGATGCTGATGCTGATGCTGATGCTGATGCTATTGCTGTTGCTGATGCTGCTGACGCTGATGCTGATGCTAGTGCTGCTGATGTTTACGATGACGACGACGGTGCTGATGCTGCCGATCATGCTGATGATGATTATGATGCTGAGGCCGATGATGGTGATGATGATGCTGATGCTGATGATGATACTGATAATGCTGCTGACGATGCTGCTGATAATGATGACATTGGTTATGGCGTCGGTGATGCTGCTGATGATGCCGATGATGCGGCTGATGATCATAATGATAATGGTGGTGATGATGATGTCGATAGTGATGAAGACGCTGATGGTGATGATGCTGATGATGATGCTGCTGCTGATGATGCTGGTAGTGATGATGGGGATGGTGATGCTGCTGCTGATGACGATGAGGATGCTGATGGTGATGATGCTGATGGTGATGGTGATTATGATGCTGCTGGTGACGAAGATGCTGATGCTGCTGATGCAGGTGATGATGAACATGATTCTGATGATGATGACGATGATGCTGCTGATGATGGGAACGGTGTTGATGATGACGATGCTTATGCTGGCGAGGTTGCTGTTGTAGCTGTTGTTGTTATGGTTGTTGATGTTATGCTGATGCTGATGATGCTGATGATGCTGATGCTGATGCTGATGGGAATGCTGCGGCTGATGCTGATCATTCTGCTGATGATGATGTTGATGATGATGCTGCTGCTGATGATGATTATCTTTCTTAATGATGCTGCTGTTGTTCCTGATGTTGTTGATGATGATGGTTATGATGCAGAGGCCGATGATGATTTCGCTGATGGTGGTGACGATGGTGGTGATGATGGTGCTGATGATGCTGATGCTGATGATGCTGATGCTGATGATGATGCTGATGATGATGTCTATGATGATGAGACATTGGTGGTGGTGGCGGTGCTGCTGCTGATTATACTGATGGCGCGGCTGATAATGCTAATGATAACGGTAATGATGATGATACGGATGATACTGATGATGTTGATGATGATGTTGCTGATGGTGATGGTGCTTCTGATGCTGCTGATGACGATGGTGCTGCTGATGCTGATGATGCTGATGCTGATGCTGAAAACGATGACGATGCTTCTGATGTTGAGGTTGTCGTTGTTGAACATTATTCCTTCTAAAGAATTATTATTGTTGGGACCCCTGGTGCGCGACCTCTGCGCCGCGCCTAGGCCGCAGCTACATTTTCATCATTTTTTCGCGAAAGCTTCAGAAAAGTGGATGAGCTCCGGATCCGGTTTTTTGTTGACGCTCGTTTTCCCTTGCAAAAAACAATAGAAAATGAAAATTCTTGTTTTTACTTGATCAAATTGCAAGAATCCCTTGCAAAAAATAAGGTAAAGTGGACATTCGTGCGCGCAAGACGAAATCCTTCCAAAACTTTAGGTTTCGTAGCGATTTTAACATAAAAACGTCAAAAACCCAATGGTTTTCTCAGAACAAATTGTCAAAATGTCCTTCCGCGCGCTCTTGCGGATTCCTAGGAAACCCACCAGATTTTAAACATTTCTGTTAAAAGGGCCTTTGCGAGGAACCTTTTCAGGTGCTTCGACTCAGTCTTGGTCTCTCTCTCTGTCTTGCTCTCTCTCTCTCTCTGTCTCTCTGTACTATGTATGTCATACGCAACAAATGCACCATGCGGGGCACATGCGGGGCCCAAACAAGTGATCAACCTCTGCGGGTGTGTACTCCACGCCAGTGTAGTATCCACGATCGTCCGCGCGCCACGAAGTGAAGTGTCCTGACGTCATAGGGCGGGAAGCTGGGTGTGGGTGGTTCCCGAGAGTCGTGTGGATGTTTGGTAGAGCTTGCATTGCCCCCCCACGAAGTGGGGGTATTGGCTGGCGTCGCATGAAAACCCTGGCACTGGGGAGAACACTGAGCGTTCGGGTAAAATGGTTGTTGTTATTGTTGTTGCTGTTGTTGTTATGGCTGTTGATGTTGCTGGTGGTGATGATGACAATGATGCTGATGATCATGCTGCTGATGATGATGTTGATGGTGCTGCTGATGATGATGATGATGACGCTGATGATCAGGCGTGATGATTCTGCTGCAGTTCCTGATGATGATTGCGATGCTGATGATGACGATGATGACGCTGCTGTTGCTGATGCTGGTGATGCTGCTGATGATGATGCTGATGATGATGTTGCTGCTGCTGCTGATGCTGATACTGATGCTGACGCTGCTGCTGAGGATGACGATGCTGATAATCATGCTGATGATGGTGATGGTAACCATGCTGATGCTGCTGATGATGCTGCTGCTGATGATGCTGATGATGATGTTGATGCTAATGCTGCTGCTGATGATGCTGATAGTAATGATGATGACGATACCAGTGACGCTGCTGATGCTGATGATGACGATGATGCTGATGATGATGCTGATGATGATGGTGAGGTGGTGACGATGCTGATGAGGCTGATGCTGATGTTGATGCTGATGATGCTGCTGCTGGTCATCATGATGATGAGGATGATTATGATTCTGATGCTGATGTTGGTCATCATGCGAACGATGATGACGATGATGCTGATGATGATGCTGATGCTGCTGATGATGATAATGACGATGATGCTGATGGTGTTGATGACGATGTTGATGATGATGGTGATGATGACGATGATATGGTTGATGATGATGATGAAACCTATGCTGAGGATGATGATGATGACGATGCCGATGCTGATTATGATGACGATGATGATGCTGGTGCTGATAATGATACTGATAATGATACACATGATGATGACGCTGATGGTGATGCTGATGATGTTGACGATGCTGATGATGCTGAGGAGGACGGTGCTGATTATGCTGCTTGTGATGATGATGATGATGGTGGGGCAGGATGAGGATGATGATGATGATGCTGATGGTGATGATGATGATGCTGATGATGATGAGGATGATGATGATGAGGATGATGAGGATGAGGATGATGATGATGATGATGATGATGATGATGATGATGATGATGATGATGATGATGATGATGATGATGATGATGATGATGATGATGATGATGATTGATGATGATGATGATGATGAGGAGGAGGAGGAGGAGGAGGAGGAGGAGGAGGGGAGAGGAGAAGGAGGAGGAAGGGAGGGGAGGAGGAGAGGAGGAGGAGGAGGGGGATGGAGAATGGAGGAGGAAGAGGAGGAGGAGGAGAGGAGGAGGAGGAGCAGGAGGAGGGCGAGGAGGAGGAGGAGGAGGCGGATGAGCAGAGGGAGGAATATTAATACTAATACTAGTACCACTGATAGTACTAATATTAATACTAATCGCATTATACATAATACCACGACTAATAATATGAGTAATAATTCATGCTAGTCATACGGCGAAACATGACACGTGCTAAGATGAGGAGGATGAGGAAGAAGGGGAGGATGAGCAGGAGGAGGGGGATGGAGAGCAGGAGGAGACGGTGGAGGAGGAGGAGGAGGATGAGGAGGAGGACGAGGACGAGGAGGCGGGGGAGGAGGAAGAGGAAGCCGTCACATGTGTTTCCTTTCGTCTTCGCTGTTTGAGGAGCTCTCATGGCAAGCGTTTGGACCGTCTTGCTGCTGTCTTGGCATCATTTGAGGTAGTCTCGGGGGTCCCTTGGGCTCCTCTTGGGCCGTCTTGGAGCCCCCTCAGACCGCCTTGGGGCTCTCTGGGGCCGCCTTGAGGCCTTCTTGACCCCAAGACGGCCAATTGGGTCCGTCTTGGAGCCATCTTGGGCAGTCCTGGAGGCATCTTGGTCTTGGGAGCGAACCTCCGCACGTTTTTTGGTGCATGGTCGACTCGAAAGCACACACCCGTTGTATTTTCGAGGGAGCGTGGCCTCGCCTGCCAGGCAGCACCAGGCATTCCAGCACGCCTCAACGTGCCAGGGGGTTACGGTGGCGGATTGCGGGTGGTCGGTGCCATCCAAATTGATCCTGAATTTGGCCAGAGGGTCGGGTGTTGCTAGAAGTACCCCTGGCCCAAGGTGCCCCCAGGAATCTCGGGGTGGCCCAGGAGGCCTCCAGGCCACCCCTCACGAGGCCCGGAGGACCCCAGGGGCTCCAGAATGGAGCGAAAAGCTGGGGGCACCTTGGGCCAGGGGCACTTCTAGCAACACCCGAGAGGGGAAGGGAGACAGAGAGGGGGGCCAGGAGCATGGGTCAGAAGGGGAGACGGACAGGATGAGAGCGGGTGCGGGTGATGGAGGGCGAAGGGGCGGCGGGGACCCAATCGGAGCTGGAGGGGAATGAGAAGGATGAGGAGGAGGAGGAAGACTAGGAGGGGGAAGAGATAGGAAAAGGAGGGACAAGGACGAGGAGGATGAGGAGGATGAGGATGAGGATGAGGATGAGGATGAGGATGAGGATGAGGAGGAGGAGGAGGAGGAGGAGGGAGGAGGAGAAGGAGGAGGAGGAGGAGGAGGAGGAGGAGGAGGATGAGGATGAGGAGGAGGAAGAAGGAAAAGAAAGCTCCTGACCCGAGGATCGCCCTCAGCGCGGGTCTCACCATTTTCAATGCCGTTCTCCTGCACACGTTCCAGCACCCCATCTTGCTGACATGCTGGCACCAGGCTGTCCGAGGGAAAGCACGCCGTCCTGGCATCTCCAGAGCAAGTCCGAGCCCTCGGTCCGACGAGGGGAGCGAGAAGTAATATGAGTAGGTGGTCAATGAGAAGGGTGGTGGTGGTGATGATGATTAAGACGACGGCGGCGGCGGCGGCGACAAGGACAGCGATGGCGGCGGCGACGACGACGGCGGCGGCGGCTGCGGCGCCGCTGGCGGTGGCGGCGTCTACGACGACAAGGACGACGACGATGACGACTGCGGCGGCGGCGTCGACGACGGCGACGACGACGCCGGCGACGACGACGACGAAGACGGTGGCGCTGGCGGCGGCGGCGGGGCGGCGACGACGACGACCTCGAAGACGAAGGCGGCGACGATGACGACGACGACGGAGGCGACGACGACGACGACGATGAGGAGGAGAAGGAGGAGGAGAGGGGAGAACAAGGAGGATGAGGAGGGGAAGGATGTGGAGGGAGAATAAGTCTGAGGAGGAGAAGGAGCAGGAAGAGTGGTGAGGAGAGGAGAAAATTGAGGAGGCGGTGGAGGTCGAGGAAGATGAGCGGGACGTTGACGAAGTTGAGGAGGAGAGAGGGTAGGGGATGGAGGAGGAGTAGACGATGTTGATGCTGATGCTGCTGCTGATGATGATGACGACCACGACGACGATGATGACTATTATGATGACGATGACGATGGCGATGATGATGCTGATTATGATGCTGCTGATGATGCTGATGACGACGATGATGATGATGACGATGGAAATAATGACGACCACGACGACGATGATGTTTATGATGATGACGACGATCATGACGATGATGCTGATTCTGATGATGATGATGCTGACGACGGTGGTGATGATGATGATGACCACGACGACTATGATGATGATGCTGATGATGCTGCTCATGCTGATGATGATAATGATGATGGTGATGATGTGGAGGAGGATGAGGAGTAGAAGGACCAGGAGCAGGAGGCGGAGCAGGAGGTGGAGATTGAGGATGCGGAGGAGAAGGAGGATGACGGGGATGATGATAATGATGATGATGATGATGATGATGATGATGATGATGATGATGATGATGATGATGATGATGCTGATGAGGACGACGACGACGCCGACGACGACCGCGATACTGATGTTGTTGATGATGATGCTGATGTTGCTGATGATGATGATGATGATGATGATGATGCTGATGAATGCTGCTGCTGCTGCTGATGCTGATGATGATGATGATGATGATGGTGACAATGATGCAACTGATGGTAATGCAGCTGCTGATGATGATGCTGATGCTGACGCTTCTGCTGCTGCGGATGATGATGCTGATTCTGATTATGATGCTGCTACGGGAGCTGATGCTGCTTATGACGATGATGAGGACAATTAGTGCTGCATATGATACTGATTGTGATGATGATGATGAGGATGATGATGATGACGATGATGACGATGCTGATGATGATGACGATGATGATGATGATGCTGCTGCTGATGATGATGATGGTGATGATGTGGATCATGATGCTGATGATCCTGATGCTGATATTGATGACGATGCTGATGATCATGCTGATTGTGCTGATGATGATGATGGTGATGCGGCTGCGGATGATGAGGATGATGCTGATGCTGATGGTGATGATGCTGCTGATGATGCTGATGATGATGATGATGATGATGATGTTGGTGATGATGATGATGCTGATGCTGATGCTGATGCTGATGCTGATGATGATGATGATTCTGATGATGGCGATGATGATGATGATGATGATGATGATGATGATGATGATGATGATGATGATGATGATGATGATGATGATGATGATGATGATGATTCTGATGATGGTGATGACGATCTCGACGACGACGACGACGACGGGGACGACGGCTCTAGTCTGGCATGAGTCGGAGGAGGATCATCATGTCTTGCAGAAGTAGGGGGAGGAGGAGGAGGTGGAGGAGATGGAGGAGGAGCAGGAGGAGGGGGAGGAGGAGGGGGAGGAGGACCAGTGTAAACCCAAGACTCATCAACGATCTTGTAATAACCCTTTCCTACAAGCTTCCTCTTCATAGGCCCCTGGAGGAAGTGCTTCGTTGGGAGACAACCGTCCTGAAGCGTACCATAACTCCATTATCGGGCTTCGAACGCCTCGAATCAACGTGGCTGTTGCGTCTTGGCCATCGTGAGTCGTGCCAGAAGGCCATTCTGGGGAATTCAACACCGCGAACCAAGGTAATTGTTGCACCGTGACAGTCCCGAACCGATCCAAAACATCGTCTCTGGTATGTTAGTCATGGGAGTCCGTGGCACACTTGCAAAATTTTAATGCCAAAGAGCTCGGCGCTAAGGCAAGATCAACACTTTGAACAGGGACCGGCCTCAATACCTGAAACTCTTACAATTTTGTAAGACGAGTGTGCGCGGCGCCACGGCGAGAACTACATTTTGAAAACGACCCGCCCTCATTTTGTGGAACTCGTGAGTCTTTTGGTAGAAGGAATGTGCGCGGCTAAGGCGAGAGCCACATTTCGCAAACCACCCGCCCTCCATCTGTGAAGCTGCTGCCAATCTATAAGCTCCAGAACCGTAAACGGTAGGGAAGTCTCAGGCGAAACGCCTGGCCCGCCCTTCCGACTGGCCTCGGAGTGCGACAGGGGAGGTTTATATTAAGACAAGGAATGGAGGAGGAGGACGAAAAGGTCGACTACGAACAGAGTGAGGCAAGGAATGAAGGAGGAGGAGGAGGAGGACCATTGTAAACCCAAGAGCCATCAACGGTGTTGGAGAAAACCCTCCCTCCAAGCTCCCTCATCATAGGCCCCTTACAACGGTTCATTTCCACTGAGGGAACTGCCTCGTTGGAAGGCAACCGTTTGAAGACCCTGCCGAAAAATTCTTCTCGGGAGTCCAACGCCACGTATCAACCTGCCTTTGGCGTCTTGACGATCGTGAACCGTGCCAGAAGGCCATTCCTGGGACTTCAACACCGCGAATCAACGTAAGTGTTGCGCCACCATAATCTTGAATCTTTCCAGAACTCAATTTCTGTTACGCTGATCATGGGACTCCGTGAAATTCTAGCAGCTTTAAATAAGGAGTGTGCGAAGCGCTCAGGCGAAAACCACATTTTGAAAACGAACCGCCCTCAATCCGTGAAGCTCTTGCAGCTTTTATGTCCGAGTGTGCGCGGCGCTAAGGCGAGAGCCACACTGTGAAAACGACCCGCCCTCAATCCGTGAAGCTCTTGCAGGTTTTGTCAGCGAATGTGCGCGGTGCTCAGGCGAGAGCCACATTTCGAAATCGAACCGTCCTCAGTCCGTGCCAAATTTTGAAAACGAATGTGCGCGGCGCTGAAGCGAGAGGCACATGTTGAAAACGACCCGCCTTCAGTCCGTGAAACTCTTTCGAGTTGTTAAACGAATGTGCGTGGCGCTAAGGCGAGAGCCGCGTTGTGAAAACGACCCGCCCCCAATTTGTAAAACTTTTGGAGTATTCTAGAACGAATGTGTGCTGCGCGACAGCGAACGCCACATTTTGACAAGGAACCGCCCTCAATCCGGGAAGCTAGCTCAAATTTTGAAAACGAATGTGCGCGGTGCTAAAGCGAGGGACACATGTTGAAAACGACCCGCCCTCAGTCCGCGAAACTCGTTCGAATTCTTCGAACGAATGTCCGTGGCGCTATTGCGAGAGCCGCATTGTGAAAACGGACCGCCCTCAATTTGTAAAGCTTTTGGGATATTCTAGAACGAATGTGCGCGGCGCCACAGCGAAAGCCACATTTTGAAAAGGAGCCGCCCTCAACCCGGGAAGCTTGCGCAAATTTTGAAAACGAATGTGCGAGGCTCTAAGGCGAAAGCTTCATTTTGGAATCGACCAGCTCTCAGTCCGTGAAACTCTTGCGAATCTTTGAAAACGAATGTGCGCGGCGCTAAGGCGAGAGCCACATTGTGAAAATCACGCGCCCTCAATCCGCGAAGCTTTTGCAATATTCTAGAACGATTATGCGCAGGGCTTCGGCGAGAGCCACATTTTGACAAGGAGATGCCCGCAATCCGTGAAAATCTGTCAAATTTTGTAAAACGAATGTGCGCGGCGCTGAGGCGAGAGCCACATCCTGAAAACGACCCGCTCTCAGTCCGTGAAACGCCTGCGAGTTGTCAAAACGAATGTGCGCGGCGCTAAGGCGAGAGCCACATTGTGAAAACGACCCGCCCTCAATCTGTGAAGTTCTTGGATTTTTCCAGAACGACTGCGCCCCGCTAAGGCGAGAGCCACATTTTGAAATCGACCCGCGAACCTTCAAAACGAATGTGCGCGGCGCTAAGGCGAGAGCCACATTGTGAAAACGACCTGCCCTCAATCCGTGAAGCTCTTGCAATTTTCTAGAACGATTGTGCGCGGCGCTCAGGCGAGAGCCACATTTTGAGAACCACCCGCCCTCCATCTGTGAAGCTGTTGGCAAAATTATAGGCTTCAGGGTCAAAAGTGGTGAGGAAGTCTCAGGCGAAACGCCCGGCCCGCCCTAAAATCAGGCCTCGGGGTGCGACAAAGAGAAGTTGTTTATAAGGAAAAGAATGGAGGAGGAAACGGAATGAAGGAGGAGGAGGCGAAGGAAAAGGAGTAAGAGGAGGAGGAGGTGGCGGTGGCGGTGGCGGGTGAGGCGCAGCCCTTATCCCTAGAGCTCCTGGAAACTCCTTACGTCCCCTTCAGACGGTAGAACACCCTCCTCCTAGGATGCAGCTTCTAGGAGGTAAAATTTTGAATCGGCGCTGGCATTTTCGCGGTCGATATACGGCTTAATCTGGGTAGATGTGGGCTCATTTGGTTCAATCTGGCTCTTGTTTACTCCGGTCTCATCCAGCTTAATCCCAGTCTTACTTTATCCTGATCCGGTGAAGCGGCCCTCTTGTCGGGCTTGATCGGCCTTAATCGTTCTAACGGAGGCTTCCCAGGAGTTGCCTCCTATTTCAGGGTCCACTTCGATCCGATCGATTCGAGTCGATGTCGATTCCGACCGGCCCAATCCGATTCGATTCCGTTCTGCCGACGACCTGGTGCGGCCCCGTGCTTGCACTGCGCTGTTGTGCATCCTGGTGCGGCCGACCGGGTTCGATTTCGTTTCAGTGCCGATGCAGCCCGATCCGACGCATATTCTGCTTAGATCGGATTTTCTGGTTCGATGCTGACTGATCCTGTGTTGTCGGATACGGATTTTGAGAGGATAGTTGTTGAGCCCGCAGAGCGGGAGTCATGGCAGGCCACCAAGGAAGGGGAACCGAGCGCGCAAATCTTGCAATCATTGGGCGTTCGGGGTATGGCTTCGACGGGGGTCAGCAGCAGTTGCTGCAATGCTTCTTCGGGGCGGTAATCCATGGGGCACGGAGTGTGCGAGGGGCCTTGAAAGGGGGGATGCACGTGCTGGCATACACAGTAGCATCTTCTCCTGGTGAGGGGATCCCCTAGGCTGGCGTTGGTGTTCATTTCCAGGCCCCCATGTCGTCGTCGTCGTCGTCGTCGTCGTCGTCGTCGTCGTCGTCGTCGTCGTCGTCGTCGTCGGCGGCAGGCCGTCAGCGTCGTGCTCATCGTCGCCGTGGGCATCGTGCGCCCCTCCCTTCTTGCCACTGGCGACGAGCAGCAGGCCGCTCACTCTCGCCCTCCTCTCGTCCTCTCTCCTTGTGTCTCCTCATTTCTCCTCTCCTCCTCCTCCTCCTCCTCTGCTCATCCTCCTTCTCCACCTCCTCTGCTTCTCCTCCTCCTCCTCCTTCCTTTTCCTCCTCCTCCTCCTTCTTTTCATATCTTCCTCTCATTGCTCTCCTCCTCCTCCTCCTCCTCCTACTGCTCTCCTCCTTCTCGCTTCCTCCCCCTCTCCTCCTCCTCCTCCTCCTCCTCGTCCTCCTCCTCCTCCTCCTCCTCCCCCCTCTTCTCTACCCTCCCTCCTCATTCATTCTTCTTCCCCATGTGACACGCTGACGCAATGCCCTTGTCGAGTGAAAACAGCAACCTCCTTCCTCATATCACGTTGTGCTTCTTCCTCCTCATCTGTTCTCCTCTTCCGCCTCCTCCTCCTTCTCCTCCTTCTCCTCCTCCTCCTCCTCCCTCCCTCCCTCCTCACCACTCCTGCTCCTCATGTCCTCTCCTACTTCCTCCTCCTCCTCGGGAGGGTAACGGGGACGAATGCGGAAGAGGACAAGAAAATAGAGAAGAAAAGTGGATGATAATGATGAGTCATGCTCTCTTCCTTCCTTCTCCCTCCTCCTTTCCTCCCTCCTTCTCTCTCCCTCCTCCCTCCCTCCTCCAGCCTTCCTCCTTCCTTCTCCTGCCTCCTCCCTCCTCCCTTCACTTTCCAGCCTCCTCCGCAAGAGGTCACCTTGCTTAGATTAGCTCACCTCTTGATGCAACACGTGTTTTTTTTGATTACTTGCGATGTGCCGATCCAGTCCAGACGTCAACGCCGCCAGCTTAGTTCAGCCACAGCTTTGGCTCAATGCATCGCTTGGGCGACACAGCACACCTCGCATTCAAGTCATCGGCTGCATTCGCAAGCGCTGTACGACCTCTACAGCCCTACATGCCATACCGCATACGCGCACTGACCTGCGGCTACGTGGTGAACAGCTGGCCTAGGCGACACGACTAGACCAAGGGATTGCTCATCGTCACCACTTGCAGATGGCTGTCGAAGACGTGGATGCCGTACGAGCTCCACACACATCACAAATTGACCCCACCACTACTACTATCATACTGCGTACATACGCTGACTTGCCTGTACATGAACAGCGTGCCTTGGGTACACGACTAGAACGCGATGGAGGTCGGGTTCCGCCGCCGAATCTACAGCTGCAGTGTCAATGACAGCGGCATGCCGAGATTCACGCATGGAAGCATTCCCCTGCGGGTGGTACGCGAGTTCGACGAGACCGAACCGCAGGCCCCGCGGCCACTTACACTCGGGCTCTCCTCGATATCGAATACCTCTCGAAGTCTACCGAATTCGCTTAGCGCGATTTTCCCATCTCGCTGCCAACCTCTGTCCTCGGATTGTGCCGTGCGGGCGGCGTTTGATGGGTTCGTTCCATGGACGCCGTGCACGACTGATACGACGCCGTCCATCCCTGCCAGACGGGCCAGGCCAAGCCGCCAGATCAGCCAGACTAGCCCACGCCCTGACCCGTCGTCACCCACAACGGCGGATGTGGCCAGAAGCGCGCTCCTGACGGATGGAGGCGACACCGACAGATTCAGGGGCCGCACGGCAGTGCCTTCTCACAGTGGACGGCGGACGAGGGGTGAACACGCGGACTCTGCCAGCCTCGGACGGCCGACAGGGCTTGCTTCGCCCGCTACGCCAGGCGCCTGTGGGAGGCAGAGGAACCACTGTTTCCAGATGGTGATGTGCGTTTTTTTATTCGGCGTTTCGACATTGTGCGGCGGGGGGGGGTCTGGTTCTGGACCTCTGCTTAGTGCGGCTGTTTGCAAGAGTGCGGCTTCTGGGGGAGACTCCACCCCCTCGAAACATGCGCCCCAAAACGACCAAGATCTACTCCATGGGGCAGGGGGGAGGGGGGGTTTGGGGGCCCGCGCCGATCGGCAGAACAATGAATTAAACAACGATCACATGGAGCAAATCAGCCGTCGCCGTAGACCATGCTCGCTGCGGGGAGAGCACGCAGATCGCGCTGCGCGGCTTCGAGGCTTCTGTGTGGGGAGCAGTCCATGCTGCTTCAGCAGAGAACGGCACTGCTGCGCTCGTCCTTCATGTCTTCCCCCATGATGCAGCGCGACCGTTGTACCTGCGCTGGCGGCGCGGGAGTGCTGAGTGTTTGACAGGACATCTCAATGAGACGGGCAACGTGCGCTTCCGCACCCGCTTTCGTTTCGGCTGCGATCGCGAGCGTTTGTTTCAGTAATCTGTTCAAGCCGGCAAGTTTGCCCGCGCAGTGTGCCCCGCTCTGCGACGAGGGCGGTCTGGGCAAGCGGTTCGGCGGCAGTCTGCTTCTCGGTGAGGCTCCTCGTGGCGAGAGCGGCGCCCAGGCCAGTGCCCAGCTGACAGCGGCGAGCGTGCGGGAGTGTGCCAGGTGGGAGCGCTAGAGTTTTCCCCCTCCTCTCGACGGGAGGGCTCGGGGTTGGACAGAACCCCCACCCTGACACGTCGATTCGTGAATTGTCCGTTTTCGGTTCTCGAGCCGCGGCCGTCATTTTCCAGGCTTGAGCCCGCCAGGTTTGGGCCCGAGGTCGTCTTCACTAAACCACGTTTTACTACGAAGGTCTGTCCATCCCCGAAGGGCGCAGCGGGGGCTCCCGCGGTAGCAGGTGGACCCCCCGCCCTTCCTCAGACAGGACCCCCTGGTTGCCACTGGCTGCCAGGAGGCACGACTGTCGTGCATCCGCCAGCTGGAGTCCTGGAGGGCGCCCCAGGCAGGTTTGAGGCGACGCGAGCTTTTGCCATGCCTCCAGGTTGACCCGCGGGGGCATTCGAGAGTTTCGAGCTGCGCCCTTGCTGGCGTGGACCAGCCCTCTAAACTCCTTTACCTTCACCTCCTCCGTGCCTGTCCTTACCCTCTCCCCTTCTCGGGCCAATTTCGATCCGATCGATCCGATTCTATATCGGTGCTGGCCGACTCGACCCGATTCGATTATGTTATCCCGACGGTCCGATGCGGCCCGATGCTCATATGGCGTCGTTATGCATCTTGCGCAGCCAATTGTTGTTCGATCTTGGCGCTTTGCAGATACAGCCCGATCCGATGCGTATTCCGATTCGCTCTGGTTTATCGATTCGATGCTGACTGATTTTGCCCTTCCTCCTGCTCGGTCACGTGCTCCCTCGGTTGCCCCTCCTGGGAGTAGTCATTTGGCGTCGTCGCGTATAGATCTATCTATGTACCTTGATAGATGACATGTATATAGATATAAACATATATATCTATACATGTATTTGTGTATATATATAATATATCCGCAGCCGAAAACTGTTCAGCTCTGGCCTGATCCCTCTGAGTCTGGCTTGGTTCCGTCACATCTTGCGCAAGCCTTGGCTTAGTCTGGGTTCGTCCAGCTGGAAGGCCCTTCTGAGTCGCTCTCGCGAAGACCTCCCAGGAGTGGACTCCACGTGCTTCTCGTCCGTCACCTTTCTACCCTCCTCGTCGTCAGCCCTTCCTGTGATCCCGGGCCCGACCCTGGGCGCTTGTGTCGGTCGACTGGCGCCTCCGCTGGACAGACAGGGCTCGCGCGCCGCTTCGCTATCCACCCCTTTTGCTGCCCCCCTTCGTTCCAAGCCGACTCTCCACTTCCTTTAGGATGCAGTCCCTGGGAGGTTGAATTCGGCATCGGCGCTGGCATGTCCCTGGGCGAAAACTCGCCCAATCTGGCCTACGTAATCCCTTTTCGCTCCGCCGACTCCGGCTCAGGTTTGGCTTCGTCTGGCTGGATCTTTCGCCTAATCTGGGCAAACCCGTCCCCATGCCTCTTCAATCTGGCTTAGTAGCCGTTGACCGTTCTTGCGAAGCCCTCCGTTGCATCGCTGCATCGTTCATCGGGCCGTTCGCATCCTTCATCGGGCTCGGCCGTGGCATCGTTAGCATCCGTCGCCAGCCGTTGCATCGTTTATCGGGCGTAGCAGCCGTTAACCGGGCTGAGTAGCCGTTAACCGTTTGCCTCCCAACCTTCCTCCTGCTCCGTCCCCTCTGCCCTTCGTCGTCTCAGCCCCGCGGGGGCGACGCGCGCGCTTGTGGTCGGGCCTCCACTGTAACACATTCCTCCTGCTCCGTCCTCTGCCCTTCGTCGTCTCGGCCCCGCGGGAGCGACGCGCGCGCTCAGAGCTGTTCTCTATAGTATACACGCTCCGTGGCGGGTACCCTCTCACCCGTGCTCCTCGGGGGACGACTGACGGGCCTGTCCTCCACCACCACCACCACCACCATAAGTTGGAGGGGGAAGGAGGTGTGGAGGAGGAGGAGGACGAAGAGGAGGAGGAGGAGGAGGAGGAGGAGGAGGAGGAGGAGGAGGAGGAGGAGGAGGAGGAGGAGGAGGAGGAGGAGGAGGACCCCCTCCCCCTCCTACTTCTGGTGGTGGCGATGGAGAGCAGACCCACCGACGGCACCACCACAGTGCTGTTGTACTGCATGCTCGGGTCGGAGGTGCGCCTCCGGAAGCGGGGCCACCGCACACGCGGATCCATGGGGGCGTGGACTCGCGACGGGCCCCGCCTCCATGGGCAGCCACGGAGTTCCGCCGCCGAGCGAGGCGGCACCGGCCGCATTTTGGGGAGGGCACCTCCCCCGATGCATGGACTTGGCGACCGCGCGCCGAGTCAAAGGATCGCTGGTCCGTGTCTGCGCGCCCCCATCGGAAGGGGCAACGACTGGGGGGGGAATGGGCCCCGGCGGCGATGCATCGACCCGCAGCCGGCCGTTCGTCGCCGAGAGGATCCCGACGGCCCACCCTGGCAATGTATCGCCGATTCCATGGCGATGTTTCGACTGGACGTAAGATGTAAGAGTGACCTTTCGCCGGAGTGACCGTTGGTGCGGGCACAGACGGTTCCCCAGATGGCTGAAAACGAAGCAGTGGCAGCTGCTCTCGCGCCCAGGTTTGGTCCACCCCGCGGCCCCCAAGAGGTCGCGCAGCAAAGGTCACTCTTGCCCAGGGTCACTCCTGCGTGTAGTCGAGTGTTCCCCCCTTCTGAGCTTCACCGAACGCGTTCCACTACTCGCAAAGTGCCTACTCGCAGACGTGCGGGAAACAGATGTCTGCCTCGACGTGATTCCTGGTAAGGCTCCCCAGGCGGATCCGGGCCATCTGCGCGAGTAGTCACACTTTTGCGAGCTTCTGGAGCGCGCTCGTCTGGCGCTGCCCCCCCCCCTCCGTCGTTGCCCCCCGCTCCAGCAGACGCGCGCAGTGCTCGTATGATATCGGGCTGGGCGAAAGGGGGGGATTGGGAAAGGGGGGGGTACGAAATTTGCTGCATACAGCTGGTTTCGGCCTCACCGAGGGGCCCGTTCCTCGATACATAGCCGCCTCCGGCGCCGGGAGGCGCTTGGAAAATCAGCTACGTGAGCTGATTCTCAAACTCCCCCTTTGCTATCCCCCCCTTTCGCCCGACCCGAGTGTGCCCTCCTGCGTCCCCCGCTCCGCCCCCTGCCCTCCGTCGGCCTCCCTCCCCTTGACGACCGGCAGGGCCTGCCTCCGCTGACGCTCGTCAGCGCCCTGCGGCTGGGCCTGCCCGTGGCGGTGTGTCAGAGCATCAGCCTGGTGTGCGGGAGCTCCCGCGAGCGGGCGCGGTCGACAGCCGATGCGGGTTTTTGAGGGGGGAGCTTTGGGGGGGGGGAGACGGCCTGGGCTCCTCCTCCGCCTCCTCCGCCTCCTCCTCCTCCGCCTCCTCCTCCTCCTCCTCTCCTCTCCTCTCCTCTCCTCCTCCTCATCCTCCTCCTCCTCCTCCTCCTCCTCCTCCGCCTCCTCCTCCCCCCCGAGGTGGGGCCAGAGGCAGTCTTTTGAAAAGGCAGCCCCTGCATCCTTGCTTGCTCGACCCCCTCCGAGCCCATCTAGACGTCCAGAAGCGCCCAAGCTGGACGTCTGAGGGCCTTGCTTCCGTATTTTGTACCCATATCATGTAGGCATCCCAGACGGGATCCGAGACGAGGAGGTCGGAGGATCGCGCCGCATCGCCGATGCATCGCCAGTGCGGCTCGACAATGTGGAGCCCGCTTTCCTCCACGCCGACGGTGCCTATGCTTCGCCAACGTCGCCGATGCATCGGCGATGCTTCGGTGATGCACCGTCGATGCGGCGGGATCCTCCGACCCCATCTGCTCCGACCCCATCTGGGAGGCCTCCAGGGAGGAGCGGGGTGGAGGCGAGCAAGCGGCCAGAGTCGAGGTCCACAAGTCGGCCTGAGCACAGCGCCGAGGCGCTGAAACAAAAACCTCCCTGGGCTCCGGCTCTCAGGCCGCTCCTGGAGCCTGTGCATGGCCCGCTCGCTCGAATGATGATGAGGAGGAGGAGGAGGAGGAGGAGGAGGAGGAGGAGGAGGAGGAGGCGGAGGAGGAGGATTCGCCGTGGCCAGAAGAGCCCCTTCGTTCCCTGTGCGGCGCTCCCTGTGGTGGCACGGGGGCCGTAGCGTCTCGGTGGCCCGCGCCCACCGTCTGCATCGGTGCCGGACCTCCGTGGCTGCTCCTGCGGCGCCGCCCCCGGCACGCTCCGCGCGCCGGGGGGGGGGCCCAGCGCCGACCCAAGAAATCCGACCCAAGAGTTTGTGTTCATGTCGTCTCTTGTTCTTAAGAGGGAGCGAGAGAGGGAGAGATAGAGAGTGACACATACATATATACACACATATATATATACATATTTACCTATAACATATATTTTTATATAAAGATATCGAGAGAGGGAGAGACGCACACACATATATATACACATACACATAATCACATGTACACATATTTGTATATACCTCGCGAGAGATGAGAGACAGGGAGACAGAGTGAGAGAGAGAGAGAGCTGCACACACACATATATATATATGTTTATATAGATGTATATCTGTATATGTGTATCGAGCGATACATGGAGGAAGGGACAGAGAGAGAGAGAGAGACAGAGACAGAGAGAGACAGAGAGAGAGAGAGAGAGAGAAAGAGAGAGAGAGAGAACATGAGAGGGAGAGAGAGCGCGGTAGGGAGGGAGAGGGAGAGGGAGTCAGCGAAAGAGGGATCCTCCCTCCAGGCGGCAAGCGAGGCCCGCTCCCGAAAGCGACGGCTTTGTTTGCGGAGACATCATTCCGTCGATCTATTTCTGGGGAGGGGCCCAGGCTTTCCTGCGTCGGGGCAAACTGTACGACGGCATGCTTTGTCGCCCTTTTCGGCTTCCAGAGGCCCTCATCTGTCCCAGGGCGGTAGCAACGACTCGGAATGAACAACACATCCCGGGGAAAGGGTTCAGACCTCTGGGGGTCCACGTTGCCAAAAGCCACGGCGTTGGAGTTCTGGGGAGTGAGGGGGGAACTACGGGCATGTTTTTTTTTGTTGTTTCCTTTTTTTTTCTTATTTTTTTTCTTCGATAGGGGCACTGTGTCAGCGTGCCCCGCTGGCTAGCACCGGATGCCAACTGGACTCCGAGCACCGCGTGCTACGACAACAGCGGGTGCGGCACGTGCCTCGCCGCAGTACCTCCGGGAGCGGCCGAGGGTGCGGGGCCGGGCTGGACGAGAAGGAACTGTAATGGCGTTGAAGAGAGAGGGGGGGGAAAGAGCACATGCGCCTATCCTGCGCGAGGGCATCGGCCGCTACGGCCAGCGGCACTCTCCCGCTGATAGCGCCCACTCTCCCTTGCCTGCATCGCCCTGCAGCCGTCGCTCGAACCACTGAACATGCGGACATCTGATGCGTCCCAGGGCAGCGGGACTCCTGTGGAGGCTTCATCCTTTACTCTTCGTTCTACTTTGCTCCCTCTTCTCCTTGTTGCCCTCTCCTCCTTCTCCTTTTCCCCACCCCCTGCAAGTGTTTCCTGCTGCTCCTCTTCCTTTTCACCATCCCGTCTCAGTTTCCTCTTCCTTTTCCTGCAGCCTCTCGTGTACGTATTCGGCACGTGTCCTGTGTCGGAAGCGGACGAGGAGGAGGAGGAGGAGGAGGAGGGTGGGGAAGCTGCCCCTTAGGCCACAGCGATCATGAAGAGGAGCAAGAGGACGACGAGACGGATGATGATGCTGATGATGATGAAAATGATGCGCTTCTCTATTCTCCTTGCCGCTCGCGCCCGTTCAGGTCCTGCAGCTTCTCGGCCCCAAGCTTGCTCTTCTCGCCCCCCGCTCCCCCCGCCGCGCGCGCGCGCGGCCAGGGCGCCAGGGGGCTTGCGGTTGCCACCGCCGCGCAGGTTCCTCTTCACCTACGCGGCGGTGTTCTACTTGCTGGGCTACGAGCTGCTTTGGGCCACTGCCGCAGGCAGGGGTCCCAACGCTTCCTCCGTGATCTGGCTGGTTCGGGGTCGCTCTTTCACCCCGCCAGTCAGAGCTCGGGTGGGGGTGGGCCGGCTGCCTCCTGTGGGCACCCGGCAGCGGCGAGTGTGCACACTCTCCGCTCGGGCGCCGCTGCCCCCCTGGCAGTGCGCGCCCGTGTCATCTGGGCGTGGCCCCAGCCAGGCCGTCCAGGCAGGCGTCTGACCTGCTCGCGGGTTCCTCCCGCGCCTGCCGCAGCTGCTGCTCGTGTGACGCTGGCTTCTGAGCCCCGTCCCGCAGGCTCGGCATCCGATGGCGCCTGCCTCCCTTTCGCCGCTACAAAACTCCCCTCCTTCCTCTTGCCTCTTCCCCTTGGACCCCGGAGCGGACGCCCATCTGAGGAGAGGAGTAGGAGGTGGAGTTCCCTCGCATCACGAGGAGGCCGCGCCATCGGCCCGGAAGAAGAGTGCTCGCGCTACGCCCGTTGCCGGCGCCACTCAAGGGTCGAGCCCGCCCGCCGCCGAACGGTCTATTGCTCGCGCCACGAGTGTCGCCGCCGCCTCTCGGAACACCGCCCGCCTGGCAACAGGCGGAGAGGCCACCGGCGCGAAGATAACGGCGTCCAGGACGGAGGAGTCGGAGTCGGTGGACCCTCTCTTTCTCCACTCCCCCTCTACTCCTCCCCCTCCAGTCGCCGCTTCGCCATGGCTCAGCTGCCGTTCGCGGCATCGTTTCCCTCGCGTGGGCAACGACAGGCGCGCGCGCGCCCAGGGCCCTTCGGGCGGATCGGGACCCAGCGGATTTGAGGGGGTTGGCATGCGCCCTTCCAGCGATGCTGCTACGGCCCCGCGGGGGAGGGGTCGTGCCGCCCACTCAACCGTCGGCCTGGCTCACCAGTCTGGCCGCCCGCCGCGAGCAAGTTTTCTGGCCGCCTCGCCCGCTCCCGCGGGTTTTCGGCCCCCTCCAGGGTCGGAGCCGTCGGTTATCGAAACCAGGCGGGGCGGGAGCTCTGTTCGTTTGGCAATCACCCACGAGCTGTCGCGCGCGGTGCCTCCCCCCCCTACTGTAGCGGCGGACGCTGTGGATTCTGGCGGTTTGGAGGGGGTGGGTATGCGCTCCTCCAGCGATGCTGTTGCGGCCCCGCAGGGAGGGGTTCGTACCGCTCCCCCAGCCGCCACCGCAGTTAACCAGCTTAGCACCCCGCCGCGAGACGGTCCCAAGGCAGCTTTGCCCTCGCTTTCGGGACTCCAGCTCCCTTCAGGGTTGGAGCCGCCGTCACAGACGCGTGCCGAGCGCACAGGGCCACCGCGGAGCAGTCCCAGAGCCGCCTCGCCGACTCGCGCCAGCTTCCGGCCCCCCCCTGGGTTGGAGTCGCCGTTGCAGCCGCGTGCTTGGCGGATGGGCCCACCGCCTGGCTTTGATGCACGAACACCAGCACTGCCGGCGGCAGCACCAACGCCTGCGCTTACGCCGGCACCAGCGCCAGCGCCTCCTCCTGCGCCGAGGCCGGCACCGATGCCTGCACGAGCGCCAGCACGGACAGCGGCAGCACCGACGCGTGCGCTTACACCAGCACCAGCGCCAGCGCCGCACCGACGTCAGCATCAACGCCAGCACCTGGCGGCGTCAGCACCGACGCTTGCGCTTACGCCGGCACCAGCGCCAGCGCCTACGCCAGCACCGAGGCCAGCGCCGACGCCAGCCCTGACGCCAGCACAGACGGCGGCAGCACCGACGCCTGCGCTTCCGCCGGCACTAGCGCCAGCGATTACGCCAGGGGGCGCTTCGACAGTGTTGCCCTTCCACCCGCCACCTGGGTTTGAGGCGCTGTCGGGCCCTGCGGTCTGGCAGGTGGGGCCATCTCCCTGCCTCGCTAGCCTGGAGGCGGGCGCTCGGGTGCCGCCGCCGCACAACCGTTGCGCGACCGACGCCGCGGTTGGGTTTCCTTTTCCTGACAGCGGAAGTGGGCAGTCGGCGATCCCCTGCCTAGGGGCCTCACCCCTGCCTCCAAGGGAGCCGCTTGCGGTCAGTGCCTCCCGTGCGAGCGCCCACGCCATCTTGCACTCGCTCGGGCTACTCGGGAATCCAACTTCGGCGTCGACGGACCCCGCGTCCCTGCCAGTGTCGGCCCCCTTGTTGTCAGGCGCTACGCGACATGTTTCTGCTGCTGCTGCAGATGGTTTCGGGGTAGCTGGTACCTGCCTGCCGGGCGCCGCTGCTTCGGCGCCACAGAGCACGGGTCGCACCGATCCCTCAGCCCCCGCCGCAGCTCGCGATTTGGGCACGCCGCCGCAAAGCTGTCCTATGGCCACTTCGCCGTGTCTTCCAGGC